CGCTGTCTCCGCACTGGGGAGTTTTGGTTGGTGAGAGAGGCTGGGGCTCGGGGCGGTGGCTCGGGACACTGGGTGACAGCCCAGCCATCCCCGGGGAGGTGGCTGCAACATAACAAAGGAATCCGCTGTGGAGGGCCTCTCTTTCCCCATCTGTATCATGAGGCCATTGCACCGTGACCGCCCCGCGCGCGCCTTCCCGCTGCAAGTTTCTCGGACTCCGGTCCTGATCAGTCTCCGGCCAACTAACTTTCCTCCCGGGCAGCGAACTCCCTCCCAAGCCCTGGCCGCTGGTCCGATCCTTGGAGATTTCCGCCCGCGCGCGCGCGCGCGTGGCGTGGCGCGGCGCTCACCAGCGATAAGAGGGAGGGAGGGCGGGGAAGTGGGTGGGATGCCAGGGCTCTAGGTGGGGCCCGGGAGAGGATTCCCAGGCTGGGGAAGGCCTCGGAAAAGGGCTGCGTCCTGCTGCAGCCGGCCAGGCTGGCTTCCTCTCCGGACTCCTTCCGTGGCCTTGGTCTGCTGTTGTATCTTCCCTGGTCCTCCTCCCCCGCCCAGGAGGCCTCCCTCCACCAGCGGGGCCTCCCGCAGGCGGGTCTAGGATGCCCCATCCCCTTGGCGGCAGTCCTCCTCCAGGACCCAGGAAAGGAGGTGGGTGGGCGACATGGACTCTTCAGGCGCCCCCTCCATTATTTCCAGGACTGACTGAAGCCAGGAGGTGGGCGGATCACAGCGGAGGCCTGGCTCTGACCCCTGACCCCGGGCCTGCAGCAAGAAGCCTTTGAGGGCATGCCAGGCTCCCACGCACTGGGGAGCTGGTGGCTCCCCTCAGTAACCTTTAGAGACCTGGGTCTTGTCCCTTCCCCTTCCTCTCAGTTCCCGCAGCCTGGAGAAATGTACCAAAAGGGCAGGACCCTGAACTCCCAAAGGTGGTTAAGTTAGTGGGGGTGGGGGGGGGGGCGTGATCTGGCTTTTCCTGGGACCGGGAAGTCCTCGGGCTGCTGTGCCCCAGGTGAGTCAGTCTAGGGCCCCCAGGGGAAGGAGGCACCTTGTCCCTTTCCCTTTCCCTTTTTCCCCCTGGACCACGTGGCCCGGCAGCCACTTGGGAGGGCGAGGAAGAGCAGTTGGACTTTGCTGGGACCAGAGCCCAGGACTCTGGCCATTACCAAGGCCCTGTCTGTGCCCGAGCCGCCAGCCGCCGCCCGGCCAGGTCAGGGGAGGGGATTAACCTGCTATTTAAAGCCAGTGACTAATAGCGCGTGGGGAGCCGCCTAAGCTCTCGAGGCCCGTGCAAAGGTGGAGTTCTGAGGGCTCCATAGCTCATTAACGGTATTCCCTTCCCTGCAGCCCGGGCCCGGCTCGTGGGGATTGTGGGGTTCCAGGAGGAGGGCCCTCCAGCCTGGCATGGCCAGACTTACGGGGAGGAACAAATGTTTCTCGTGTCTTACCCCGAGCAGGTGTGGGGCCCGGGGGAGCCCTCTGGGACGCTAAGGTCAGAAGCCCCTCCTCCAGGCCTGGCTCACCCCGTTCACCAGAGCCAAGGGACTCTGGGTAATCGTGCACATCGGCCACCCAGGCAGGCCCCCAGCGGAGGCTGTGATGTCCTCGCCAGCCCTCCTCCCACGTCTGAAGTCCTCGTCCAGTGTGTCTCACATCCGCCTGCCCTCCTCACCCCCTCTGCCTTCCTTTCTCACCTGGAGGTCTGGGGCAGCATCCCGGACGCTCTCCTGGTCCCCTAGATTCCCCGATGCTGTCACCTGTCCACCCAGCAGCCAGAGGGATCTTTGTGTCACTCCCAAGCGCCTCCCCAGCCCAGGCGAGGCCAGCCCATCTCGCCAGATAACAGTTCCCTTCTCAGAATTGGAACCAGGGTCCCCCCCCCGAGTGAGGATCTCTGATTTGCTTTTTCCTGGTGGGTCATGGTAGGGAGGCTGAAGGAAGGTGACAAGCCCTTGGTGTGCAGGTAGAAAAGTCTAAAGTTGTCATTCTTGTTGTCCCTTCCAATCTGGTCCCAGCCCACCTGGTTAGCTGTCTTACTGGTCTCCCAGTGTACCCGGCTCTCTGTGCTTCTGCCTTTTTTGTTTTTTGTTTTAATCAATAGATTTTTACTGATTTCAGAGAGGAAAGGAGAAGGAGAGAGAGAGAGAGAGAGAGAGAGAGAGAGAGAGAGAGAGAGAGAGAGAGAGAGAGAGAGAGAGAGAGAGAGAGAGAGAGAGAGAGAGAGAGAGAGAGAGAGAGAGAGAGAGAGAGAGAGAGAGAGAGAGAGAGAGAGAGAGAAAGAGAGAAACATTAATGATGAGAGAGAATCATGGATCGGCTGCCTCCTGCACGCCCCCTACTGGGGATCAAGCCTGCCACCCGGGCATGTGCCCTGACCGGGAATCGAACCGTGACCTCCTGGTTCATAGCTCAGTGCTCAATCACTGATCCATGCCGGCCAGGCCTGCCTTTCTTTAGCATGTTCTCTCCTCATTCCCCTGCTCGGTGAACCCCTCACCCCGTCTTTTAGACCCGCAGTCTCCTTGGCAGAAACCACTGGAAAGTGGCCCCTTGTGTAGGCTCATGGGGCCTGTCACCCCCAGTCACTGGTCCCCGTGACTCCTTGAGGCCTGGGCTACGCCTGATTTCTCTGTCTCGGGGGCCCAGCACTTACGTACATGGTAGTGGGCCCCCCAAGCGTTTACTGTGCGAAGGAATTTGTTCCTGAGCTGGAGCTGCCGCTGCAGGTGACTTCTGTGACTCCATCGAGTGCCTGAACGGTGGGACCTGCCTGTCTCAGGACGAGCTCCCCTTCTATTGCCTCTGCCCTGAAGGCTTTACGGGGCCCATTTGCAACGAGACTGAGAAAGGTACCTGCCCTGGGCGGCACCTGCCTCCCTCCGCCTCGCCTCCCCTCGCTCCCAGTCGCAGCCCAGGCTGCTGGGGTGAGCCGGTCTGTGTTGCAGTGGGCAGTGTCCCCCGCACCTGTCTGTTGTCAGCCAGCATTTCCCTGGAAGCCGCC